AGCAGAAACAGTGTTTTCTGTGAGAGAAATTCAAAGTTTGTCGATTCCAAGGTTCATAGACCTCACTCGTGAGGTGTTGTAACACTACATTCAGATCCCAAGCTGGAAGCGTGGAACTTCCGCTTTTGGTCCTCCAATCGGAAAGCTCGTGAGTAAGGCCAGTAACTCTGGAGATCTTGTCAATTTGACACCCGCTCTCATGGTGATTACAGAACTAAGCGCCGCAAGATATGTTGATATCGCTGAACCTTTAAATGTTTGTTTTGGCGAGGGTAACACAAATAGTCTGCCACTTGAGGTTGTGAAGCCTCTCTGCTGTAAACCCTTTCTTTGTTGCATAATTTTCAAACTGTGCCACTTGTCGCCGCATGCAAAGTTACGAGTTGAGTAACGTAAGCGCAAGCGCGACTGCTTTTGCCGCCCTGGCGAGAATATCCTCTCTTGTTTAAACACATTTGTATACAGTCCATACGTAGTTGGAACATTGCTGGGTTTCCGTGCACTTGTTTGGTGTGAGGATGAATTAACAGGTTTGCGCCGCTGGTAGCTCCAGTGTTGGTTGACCGATTTCTTGAATTAGTATGGAAACTTCACGCTCTGGCCGCCAGTAGGCTGCCACCAAAGTGAGTTGTAGGCTCTGTGTTTGTCTGATTTTCTGTAATACTTGAGGTATTATTGCTGGCGGCGGAAACGCGTCACGCATTGAGGCCTTCCCATGATAGACTTAGAGCGTCCGCTGCCCAAGCTTGGGGTCTGGGACTGGTGACACGAATGTCGGTAGCTGATTGTTGAATCGCTGTGGCTAATAGGTCTATTAGCGCGCCCTAATTGCTTGATTATCTGTGCAAAAATTTCCTGTTGATCATCCACTCTGTCGGTGATGGTAGATGAGGCCGAAGAGAGAGCGCCTGCTAGTATATTTCTGGCTCCGGAATGTGCACTGCTCTGACATGTAGATTTAGATCTTGTATTAAATCGAACAGTTGAAAGCTTAGGTTCAAAAGGTTCATCGATCTCGCTGAGCCTTGCTTGTTTATGGTGAACGCCACTGTGGAATTGTCTGTATGGATCATTAGGTAGCGATTTTGTAGAAATGTGCTCCAATGTAGAATGGCGCTGATTACAGCTTTCATTTCTAGACTGTTTATATGGAGTTTGCATTCTTGCTGATTCCATAATCCTGATATCGTGTGGTTGGTGAGATGAGCTCCCAACCTTGGAGTGACGCTGCCTACATACAGATGGGTTTTGTATTCCTGCTCTGCTAAACAAATCCCTTCGCAGACATTCGATTTCTTGGTCCACCATAGTAGATGCGGTCTGAGATGTTTCGGTAGACTGAATGGTTGTACATCGTTGAGATGTGCGTTGATGAGGACCTGTAGGGGACGTAACTGTAATCTGCCTGTGACAGTCATGTCTTGGGCTGATGTGAGAAGACCTAGTAGGCTCTGCCATTGTCGCAGAGTGGTAACGGAGAGTAGAGCTGGTGGAATGGTCTGCTGTATCTTGAGCCAACGGTCTTCTGGTACCATAATACGGTTTCGCGTTTGTGATGAATCGAATACCTAGGAACTGCAGGTCTTGCGATGGTACTAGGTCCCACTTATGTAAGTTTACTAACCAACCTAGTTGTGTTAGTAGCTTTATGATGTAATTTAACTGTAGTTTGAGACGAGTGGATCTTGATCTACTTGTATCCCGTCGTCGAGGTAAAACGCACTGCGAGTAGCCCTTGACGATGTAGAAATTTGATAATCGGTTTCGTTATCCTCGTGAATAGCCAGGGGCTGATGATATTCCGAATGGGAGTACTTTCCACTGGTAATGTAGCCCTCTAGAGTAAATCGTAGGTATTTCCTGGAATCGGGATGAATGGGGATGCAGGTAGGCATCCTGTAGATCTATGCTGCCCATGTAGTCCATAGGACGAATCATCTGGCGTAACTGAGGTAAATGTATCATGCTAAACTTCGTGGTTTTATGAGATAGTTCTTGTTGAAAAGCTCATGTTGTAGATGAGTCTGTATTTCTCCGCGGAGTTTTTCTTGGGAACTAGGAAAACTGGGGAGTAGAAACCTGGTTCGACGCTTGCTTGATCTATTACTTCTATGGCCTGTTTGGATAGGAGTGATGAAACAGCCTCTCTTATCTTTGGTAGTTGTTGCGCTTGTAAATCGAACTTGGGGTTTGATTGTCAGCGGAGGCTTGGCCTGTAGAGGGATACTGAAAATCCGTGTTGAAGAATGTTGGAGACGTAAGGGTCTTGCAATATTCCCCAGTTTTCCCAGTGTAGTTGGAGGCGCCCACCCACTTGAGCTGGCTGTACTGGAACGGCTGGGGGTGGAAGACTCCAGTCGTTCGAACCTGTGTTTCAGCTGTCTATAATGCGGGAACCTCTGGGTGTCCTGCCTCTTCCTGATCCTCCTCTATAGTTGCCATATGGGCTAATTTAAAAGAATCTTTACCTCTAGAGCTGGCTATCTTCCTGTCTCTTGCTCTTTGTAGGCCCGTGAACTTAGATCTGCCTGAGTATCTTTGTGAAGTCTGACCTTAATGACGCTGGCTAGTGTGTCCATCGATCTAATCATAAGGACTTCCCTGGAATCCTTAGAGACTTCCTTATGCGACTTTGTCGATTTCTCCGTCAAAGATGGATGTTGTCTCACCACGGGGCTGTATAAAGTGGGGCTGTAAAGTTCTCCCCAATTACAGGAGGCGTAGGAGGCCTTGACGACGAGCTAAGGTCAGTGCTGCTGAAACAGATGTAAGATGATCCGTTAAAACTGCTGATCTTTCTTTTGCATAAGTAAGGCAGAATAAATCATTCTATCATCTTCCGTCGTGGAATCCCGGAATCTAGTAATAAGAGTCTCATTGATCGCCCTAGATCTATTTAACCCAAAGAACATACGCTCGTCATGGTTTCTATATGAGCCAACTTGCGATCATCCATCTTGTAAATCTTGTTTCTTACATCGCTGATGATCTTATAGTTCTCATCGATGTCCTGCGCTTTGTAGAATGAGTCCATGTTATGCGTGGAGAACTTCTTGGCTTGAAAGTTGGGCAGATGTGGTGTCTGAACTTTCGTAGCTTTCTGGAAAGCTGCATCTAGATTCTGTGGCACTGCCGCAATCGGGTCGATCGGGGTAGAGTGATTGCATCTGGATCATCTTCCTTCATCAAATCGTCCTGCGCTGTATTGCCACTTTTAGATGGTGATGTGAGATCTAGGTTATTGACCATCCAATACCGTATTCTGCATCAGAAAATATGATTCCTCCATCATCCTCAAACCATCATCATTAACAAATTGTAGATGCTCTTCGGGACTGCGTGTAGCTGTCTGTATATCTGATGAGGTTTGTGGCGATCTAGTTGACTTGTGCGCCGCCTATGTGGAGATCTGACGGGTGATCGACCTGGTGATGAACGAAGTGGAGATCGCGTCTATGGGATGATCTTCTCGAGACTTGTGAGGTGAATATTGATAGCTTCGAAGCTCTTCGGCAGTCCCTCGATGTTCTTCTAGATGATGAGGATCTGGAATCATATGTCCTTCGCGAATGCCTTCGCGAAGCTTCATTTGCGCCTGGTCCGGGGATCGATGATATGACCTTCGCCAAGGCCTCCGTGGATGTCTGATGGTCTGAGTCCATATCTAGAGATGAAATCGAAGATGGTGATGATCTCTCCCGCCTTCGCGAAGGCCTTCGCGAAGGCTGTACATCTAGGTCCTTCGTCAAGGTGGTGCGGGACTTCCTTCGCGAAGGTGACATCGTCTTGGCTGCTACGTTGAGGGGGTGCCTCTGGGGTGCTGTCACGTTGGAGCCTTCGCTGGTTCGGACCCTGCTTGCGCAGTTTGTAGTGGTCCTCCATGATGTTCATAATCTGCCGCATCATGTCTTCTGGGATGATCTCAGGACGAAGTCGTCGGCGTCTTTCTCGCGCATGGGGTTCACATCAATGGCGTCTGACGTCGGTGTAGAGCATCAGGCTGCATGGTGATCTCTGCAGAAGTCACAGTCGCTGACACCGGTCGCTTCTTCTGCCGTAAGTCGGGGATGATTATCGGCTGATCATCGTAGAGGCCCAATTCTGCTGCTGGAACGATCTCGGCTGAGAAAGTTCTTGCTGTCTTCGTAGATTTCCCTTTGGAAGTCTGCGCTGCCCTGGGTGTCCTCAATCTGCGTTGAGACGACGATGAGGCCCTCTTAGACTTGGTCTGCAATGACGGGATGTCTGGGAGGCCGGTCGTTTCTTCGAGTAACGGACTGCGTCCCCACGCCTCTACCGAAGGGTCTCTAGCAGAACACCAGACGGAGAGGGTCGATCGCTAGCAGCTGACTGGATGGAATATCTGGACTCTCTGCCATGTTTTGCCGCTTGTTTATGCGTGATCTATCTGCAGCACGTCTTAAGACGCAAAGATGATATTTATTAAATGCAGAATGAGATAAATTAATGCAGTAACTGCAACGTGAATTAAACGCACACGGGCGAGAACAACTAGGGCATATTACATGTGGATCGGAGGCAGAAAACGTAATCTACAAATCGTACAGATTTTCATCAGCGTAAAAGCTAGCTGAACAATCACGAATACACGTGAATAAACAGTAGAAATACGATAATTAATCAATACAAAAAGTAAAGGATACTAGCTATACCTCTATAGTAACATATGAGAGGTAAAAACTAAAAGATTATCAAAGGATATGGTGTGTAAGGAGACACGAGGCGCTCTCACATCCTGCTCACTGGGCGAAGAAGGAGAGAGTGAAGCACATGGCCAGAGGGTGGCAACACCTTTCCCGCCAGGGGAAACAAAGGGGAGCAACTCGTGGTGAGTACCAATTAGTGATTTTATTTTGAAGGGAGCTTCAAATAAGGAGATACAAGTGTTCCACTATGTTCGCAAGAAGAAGAAGACAAGCAAAAGAGCATGAGTAAGGATAAGGAAAAATAATAATGTGGTTCAGGGACTGTCATCTTACCTTTATCATCAAGAGCTCCCTTCTCAAAGAAAAATCTTATTTTGTCACCACTTGTCATAAAATAGTCATCATTTGTCTGAAAATATGAATCCGATTTTAAAGATAACATAAAAGAGTAAAGGTAGGTAAACACAGTTTTTAATACATAGTTTGTTGTAACATCACAGCATGCCAGCTTGGTGTTTGAGGGAAGCCGGAAGTGTTGCATTACTCGTGCTGACATACAAAGAGTGAGTGAGTTTAGTTTTACGCTGCACTCCGCAATATTCCAGCTATATGACAGGGGTCTGTAAATAATCGAGTCTGGACCAGACAATCCAGTGATAAACATCATGAGCATTGATCTATGCAACTGGGATACAATGACATGTGTCAAGCAAGTCAGCGAGCCTGACCACCGATCCCATTATTTGCCCCTTACAACAAGCATGGGTTGCTGAAGATCAGTTCTAACCTGGATCTTCATGGTTCTCTGTGATATGAAATACACAACAGAACCACCCATGCTGCATTGTGATTTACCTCTCATACGTAACGACACAGCAATTTTCCAGCTTTATGATGTAGGTCTCAACATTACAGAACCACCCATGCTGCATTGTGATTTACCTCTCATACGTAACGACACAGCAATTTTCCAGCTTTATGATGTAGGTCTCAAAACTACAGAACCAAACAATCCAGTGATTGACAGCATGAGCATCAATGTACACAGTTGGCAGATGGTGACATGCATCAACCAAGCCAGCGAGCCTGACCACCTAACCCGTTAGTTGCCTCTTATGACAAGCATGGGTTGCTGAAGTCTAACGCATGTCTTCATGGATCACAAGACATTTGGTAAAACAATAATACTTTGTTGCTGTCACTGTATTATCAGATAAAAGTACCGACAACTACACCTCGGACACATCTGCCATGAGTCTACCCCAGTTCCACCTATTGACGATTGGTTACCTGGTCTGTGGTAGAGAACACTGTGTGGTGCTGCGCTGGATCCATGTCGTTGATGATGTTGCTGCATTCATGACGCAGAGCAGATACATCAGTGTCGTCAAGGAAATTGGGAATGACAGCATAACCGTCTTTCAGGAACTGTGTGTGGAGAAAGAAATCCAACATTATTCAACATTACTTGAAATGGATTTAAGTGTCACATTTGTCTCTCTCACACAGCCATGTGATATTTGACTAGTCCAGACTAGTGCTGATTTTATAGTCGAATGAGTGAGTTTAGTTTTACATCGCACTCAACAATATTACAGCTATATGACGGCGGTCTGTAAATAATTAAGTCTTGACCAGACAATCCAGGGATCAACAGCATGAGCATCGATCTACGTAATTGGGATATGATGACGTGTGTCGACTAAGTCAGTGAGTCTGACCACCCGATCCTGTTAGTCGCCTCTTAAGACAAGCATGGGTTACTAAAGATCAAATCTAACCCAGATCTTCACGGGTTTTTATAGTTGACTGTGATAGTAGGCTACAGTTTCACATGTATATCTCCTCACTCACACACATACTGAACCAGCCAGGTTCATGTCCTAAATGTATGACCATATTTTGTTCTAAATGCATATTAGGCCATATATAAAATATTCTTGTTTCTCATTACTGTCCCCAAAATCCAACCCCTAAGATTATTTATATATTTTCTACACTAAAGACAATGCAACTTTTACTCTCAAAATGTGCATGAATCTTTCACACTTCTAAGGATTGATTTTCTATCGGAGAAAAAGGTGTAAATTTCCACAGAAATCACGGTTTTTGGACATAAAATGGTAAGAACTTCGCCTGTAACCCCTGCTTGAAATGTATTCTACTTCTGAGGATTATTTGGAGGTTTTAGAGTTAGGATTAGGGTTTTAGGGTTAGGGTTAGGGTTAAGGTTTGGGTAAGGGCTAGTGTTATTTTATTTTATGAAAAACATTTGTTCTTAGGCATAGAATGATAAAATAAAATGGGGGTTACGGACGGAAATCTTTCCCATGAAATAATGTAACACTATAATCCGCCCGCCCCTTACTTTTTTGAAAAAGTGATGAAGAACAAGAGTATTTTTTTTATGTGGCCTTACATGAAACGCGCGCTCACTACATATGGGAGATAACTCTTCGTACCTTGAGCGTGTTCAGGAGCGACAGTGTTTCCGTAATTTCATAATATCGATCCCATGAGGATGATGTGTTGCGTATTCATACATAAACAGGAAAATGAGGTCATGAATTGAACGACTGGTGGATATTTATGCCGTATGTCTCAATTTCAAACTTACCTATCCGCCGAGGACTGCCTGTAACTCAAGGGTCTACAACGGTTACCTGCTGAGCGATATTTTGTTTATCAAATTTCAGAGAGGAGTGATGATACAAAACACCTTTCTCCGATATTAATATGGTATATCGAACCCACAAACAGCCCCTCTCCCGTCCGTAATTATACTTTCATAATTCACGATGTGAGTGAGTATTTGTCGAGTATTATCACTCACTATTATGACTCAAACATTCGGTTGTGACTTCAAAAAAGGTCCGACTGGACCCTCGAAATGGCACGCTATCAGTCAAACACTTATCGTTAAACGATGAGTGAAATCTACATTGACATATGTTGACACATTGTTAAGCAAGACATTTCTACTTGTTGTATGATAATGCATTGGTTTAATAACCTGGAAATAAATCAAAATGAGGAAATTAACCTGAGATTTGACTCCCTCCAAGTCCATATTGTTGAACTTCAGTCGACCTCGACCTACTAGTCTGTGAAGAACAAGGTCAAGGTCACACAGTGGTTTCGCTTAGTCGTCACCACGTCCTGCTGTAAAGTCCGGGACTTGTTTAATTGTTGCAGTGTGCAGTTAAAACAAGTATTGATGAATCATGACCCGATAAATGAGAACAAATTTCATGGGGCAATGTCAAAGTAGAGATTTAGTATACAAATGTTTATTTCAGATCAAAATTGATAACTATGGCAGTTATTTTGTAAATCAATAAGCTTGGAACCTAACTGTATTTATCTGTTGTTTGACGTGCTCTTCTCATTAACAGTAGGAGAGTGGAAGGTCGCGGGTTTGATCTCCGACCGCGTCATACCAAAAGACGTTAAAATATGGTGCTTGTTGGTCCCTGCCTGGCGCTCGGCATTAATGGGTACAACAAGGACTGGTCGGCTCGGAGTCAGTATAATGTGTCTGAGTGGGGTATTCATGCTTCACTGCGGCATAGTATCTCAGTAAGCTAGCACTATAAAACCAGCTTTCGTCTGGACTAGTACAAGCAGCCGCACATACACACGCATGCACGTTGTCATATGAGCGAAATATTCTCAAGCACGACGTTAACCCCGATTTCACCTCACCTGGACTAGTACAAGCAGTCACACATGCTACACACGCATGGACGTCGTCATAAGAGCGAAATTTCTCAACTACGACGTTAAACCCCATTTCACCTCACCTTAGCTGAAATGAATGACGACTACATGTATACGTCGTCGGTGATGTCTCTGGTTTGACTCAAATGAAAGTACGTTGTTATCCTGGAGGCAATGAGTCACTTATTGTGATCAGAAAATATTCAATTTGTTTTCAATGTCGAGACGGTGGCATATATTGAACACAACGTTGTACATGTGTTATATGTCTTAGTGCCGAATCAAAGTACCACAGGGGCGGATCAGGGAGTTTGGGGTGGGGGCGCACATAACCCATGACGTCCAAAGGTTAGGGGGAAGTGCTCCTTTTCGGGGAGAAGGGGGGTAGGGGGTGGATGAGCACCCCCACTCTGAATCCGCCCCTCTAACAGACCATGTGCTACATTCGTGTCAGCTACCAAACTAACGTCCTACTTCAAGCTATAGATTATTGATACAAATTACCCGTACGTTACTATTGTAGGTGAAAACAATCTGCCGAGTTTTGTTCATACATCACACATGCTTACAACATTTTGAATTTCATTATGATAGATGCAAAAACACATTCGATTAATTTGCAAGCATGGAATTTTCAATATGGTTGCATAAAACTAGGTTAGACTGTCCTGTGCTGTGAAACCATTGCTGGATAATTTCATGCGCAACAATATTCATCTTGAAACCTACTGGTTTCATAAGTGAAATGCATTATATAATGTCAAAAAAAAGTCAAGGGCAATAGTCTGTCCAAAACTTATAACGTGTGTTCAACTGCCCAGTAGAGAGTACACGTATGTACCCATTGTCTATGGTGGCTGAAATTTTAAGAAAGGTTCAGGTGAATGTGAACACTCTGAGCAAACAGAATATATTTTGCCAGTGACCCATGATACTACATGTCTGTTTAGAAGAAGAAGTCATCATGACGTAACGAGACGTGATTTCCGATCAAACCGAATTTCTGTTAAACCGGAACCCCAAAGTTGTGAAATGGACAGCGAGCATGCCCAGTGGTCGGAATGGTACCTTATTGTGCAAGCACTCTTAACACGAATTAGTGTGTTAACACATGGCAACAGAAGTGCGTCTACTGTGAGAGCCAAGTTGAACCCCATTTCACCTCTCCCTCCCACCCGGGATATGGGGATAGCCTTGTGGTAAAACCATTCGCTCGTCACGCCGAAGACCCGGGTTCGATTCCCCACGTGGGTATAATATGTGGGAGCCTATTCTGGTGTCCCCCGCCGTGATATTGCTGGAATACTACTACAAGGGGCGTAAAAATCATACTCACTCACCCTCCTACACGGGGCAGTGGGGTGGCCTTGTGGAAAAACCGTTCGCTCGTCACGCTGAAGACCCTGGTTCGATTCCACACGTGGGTATAATATGTGGGAGCCTATTCTGGTGTCCCCCACCGTGATATTGCTGGAATACTACTACAAGTGGCGTAAAAATAATACTCACTCACCCTCCTGCACGGGGCGGTGGGGTGGCCTTGTGGAAAAACCGTTCGCTCGTCACGCTGAAGACCCGGGTTCGATTCCACACGTGGGTACAATGTGTGGTGCCCATTTCTGGTGTACTCCGTCATGATATTGGCGCAATATTGCTTAAAGCGGCGTAAAACCAAACTCACTCACTCTCGATCCTACCTATTATTCAAAGGGGACCACAAGCTACCTGTACCCGGAAACGGTAAGACGCAAAGACTGTAGCGTGTAGTTGTTTGAAGCGGCCGTTCAATGCCCACGGCGAAACAATACATAAGCCTTGGGAAACAAGGCGTGCACTTCCGACACAACTGCAATCAAGTTGATACACCAATAATACAACAGGGATACCACAAAGCCGATGTATTGATTATTTGAGAAACAGCAGACACCGTACGTGTCATCGCTTCGCATAATGCGAGTACTCGGAACTAAAGTCCACAATTGTGACAACGCCCAGTCAGATATGGCAGCGGTCTACAGGTGCAATGGTATTAACAATGCCGGAGAGTACTGATGTGTAGATCCCTGTCCTGATTAACAGGGGCTGGTACAGTTCAGTTCTAAAAAATAGTTAATTATGATAAAATGTATAAATAAACCTTATGTTACTTTATAATATAGAAGATGGGTGTTTTTACACAAATGGGTAATATTTTGTTTCATTTTCACCACAGTGATGATGTGTACATATATTCGGAAGGGTATAAACAGTTTTAATATAGATCCTTCTCAACTTACTGATAAAGTCTGTTCCGTTTTCATCACAAATGACGTGTACGTATATATGTTGTATGGGGCGGATCCACGAGTTTGGAGAAGGGGGAGGAGTGTGTGCGTGCGCGTGCGTGCGTGCGTGCGTGCACATTCATCATGAAGTACGAAGGTTAGGGGGAAATGTTACTCAGTTAATGCTTTTCGGGGAAGAAGGGGGATGCGCACCCCCGCACCACATCTCTGGATCTGCCCCTCCATACAGTTTTAATGTAGACCCGTCGCAATTATACACTCATGGTTATTTTTGGTGAGCTTGCATATTATTATTTACCACATTATTAATTCAATTATGTAAATATAATTTAAATAGATTTTATAGATTGGTGGAAATACAATATTAAGCATGAATGACATGCATTTCAAATTAGATACATACGAAGAGAATGTATTCCAAATATTACAGGTCTACTTGGCCTCTGTCCAGCGGGCAGGCATACCTACTGTTTGGGCGTTACCGCGTTGTACAAGTAGTTTGCCCATTTGATAGACACGCTAAAACATTTAGAAAATCTCCTTTACTCGTATACAATGCATATTAAGCTGTTTATTTACGCAAGTTAGAATATACATGATATATGTGTGGCCTTCCACCTTTGTGTACCAGCCAATTAATCACACACCAGTGATTTCCCTTTGAACGACTTAAAACATACCACTAAAAACAAAGACGCATCGTCCTTGTTCGAGTTAACATTGCCCGCAGCGGCTACAAAGATGTTTGGTGAAAACGCGTCCCACCCTTTCTTTAAGGTAATTCACTTGGGCGGTAATTTACAACACGCCGGGTATTTTGAGAATTAGGACAAGCGGTATGTCACTGGTTTACTCTTCCTCTGAGTCCTTATCCCTGAGAAAAATTAATTTGCATAGCACGTGCTATTTTTGTAAGGTTATAGGTCCTCGTCCCTTCCCTGCCGTATTACTCCGCGCGGGCTGTGAGGTCGGTCCCCGCGCGGAGTAATTATCGCCTCGCCTTCTCTCCCGAGGAGTATAAAAGCTCGGATCGTATATTTAGCTCGACAGTCGGCAGTGAGGAGCGCCTACGGTGAGCATCTCCCGTGATGCTAGGGCGAAGCGTGGTTATCGAGATTTACTAGTTGGCAAATAGTTGTTGATAGGTAAATGCTAAATACACTCGTTACAAAAAAGCTTCTGTATGTACGAAATGCAAGCAGTTTGCAGTTAAGGAGGTAAAGGTGATGCCCTCTGTCAGAAATACCTGGCAGTGGTTTGACATTAGCTACATATTTCATATAGAGAAGATGAAGGAAGTTAAACAGTGCACACCATGCTGAGCGTTGTTATGACTCCATAGATATTGATAGAGCCTGCCATGTGTTTGGTTGTGTCTAACGTCTAACTAATGTGTTGATTGGGTCTCGATGTGTGCGGGTTGAACAACCACTGACGTTTTCGATTTAAAAAATGGAAAGAAGTAAAAAAGCCTTAGTGTGTTAGAAAACGTATTGATTATATAACAGTAGACTTGCATGAGTCTCTAAGGTAATAATTAATAGTGTAAATGTTAATTTAGAAAAACAGAAATATTATTAACAGATCGGGGTCCTTGGATGTACTGTTCCCTTATCTAGACTTGCCTCTTTAAATGATAGAATCACATGAACGATATATCCATGGGTTTAGCATTCAGTACAGCCTGGGAGCAAGGGCAATATAACAGTCGTGGGAGCGGTTTTAAATTGAGATTTATATCGTCAGTTGATTGCAGTTTTATTATCTTTTGTGTTGTCAATGGAGGATTTATATTTTTGCTGTATATATGTGGATGACTTCCTGGAAGGATGTAGGATCCTGATTGTCTTGATACAGCGACTGCGGCAGTAAGGCTGTATGTTGGTTGGGTGGTTTACGCCGCACTCACCAATATTCCCGCTATATGGCGACGGTCTGTAAATGATCGGGTTTGGACCAGACAATCCAGTGATCAACAGCGTGAGCATCGATCTACGCAATTGCATGTGTCAACGAAGTCAGCGTGCCTGACCACCCGATTTGGGTGAATGTGTCTGTGTTTTGTAAGTATACAGTGCAGGTATCTGGAGTGTAGGTATCTGGAAGTGAGAATATATATC